GTGTGTGTGTGTGTGTGTGTGTGTGTGTGTGTGTGTGTGTGTGAGAGAGAGAGAGAGAGAGAGAGAGAGAGAGAGAGAGAGAGAGAGAGAGCGGAGGAGGAAGTGGACGACGACGACTACAACGGACATGACGACGATGACGACGCGCGAGAGAGAGAGAGAGACGCACCTGCTTCACCCTGCTGCACGCTCAGCTCCACGCGCTGGTCGCCCGTCGCCGCGCAGCTGCTCTCTGTTCCACGCGCTCGCTACTCCACGCGCTGCTCCACGCGTGCACGTCGGGGGGGACGAGTTCGAAAAATGGCGCGGGCCAAGAACAGTCCCTTCGAAAAATGGCGGCGGTGAACTGCCCCCCCTCCTATTCGAAAAAAAAAAAAAAGTAACCAAGTCCACCAACATATTTTCCGCCCCTTCCGGACGGTCGCGAAAGGACCGAAAAAATAAGGGCCAATTTTTCTTGGGCGGCCCAAGGCGTGAAAAAACACCCTGGGCCGCCCAAAAAAAAAATTGCCGTTGGCCTGGGGGGCCTCCATCCGGACCGGTTACCGGAAAGTGGTACCGGATCCCGGATCCCGGAGGCTCCGGATCCCTTTCCGGGGGGCCGGATCGTAGCCATGGTCTGGAGGTACCTGGTCTCAAGCTAGGTCCATGTACAGCCAGGGGGTCCAGCGTTTGTAAAACGCTGGACCCTCAGGAACAGCAAATTTTGACGAGTTTTCAGCCAAAAAACTCGGTTTCAATTTCGATGTCCATTTTGACGAAATGGCAGTTCATGGTGTTTCGTTTGGGCTATGGAGACTGAATAACTGTCTTGCTTCGGGAGCGCTTTGAGTTTGCGAGTGCTCTCGTATTTCCATCTTGGATGTGCTAATCGCTGCAGATATGTGGACTGACTCCACTATCTCACCTCATCTCACCTCATCTCACCTCATCTCACCTCAGCCAAAAGTTGTTGTATTGCAATTCTACACAACGTATTTCGTTTTCGGAATTGTTTTTTATTATTATTATGTTTTTTTTTTGGTGTGTGCTGGGGCTGCACGGAACCCTGGCCGGGGGTCATGCCCGCCCGGGCACCGGGGCGTGTACCCGGCATAAGTTGGGTGCGCGGGCGACCGGAAAAACAGCCTAGGCCATTCTTAGGTTTTCCCTCTTTTTTTTGGTTTTGAAACGACAACAATATGCTACTTGGCTAGTAAATGCCCTAATGTTATTTAATCTGTCATGATTCGATCTCATTATCTACTGATGGATTGACAGTACATGTGCGTTGTGCATATCATTCAGGTAAAGTCCACATATAATGCAATCAGACTCGCTTTCATTCACACTTTTCATGCATGTAAACAGTAGCGCAGCAAACTGGCGACATGCGCCCACTCAAAACTCAGAGATATGGCATCCAGATACGAGTTCACTTTCAATTGGCTATGGCGACTCAGCGCCCAAACAACTCACTGTTCACATACACCGGATCACCCTGGATATCCCACACGCGAATCTCTGAACTCACACACACACACACACACACTCGCTACACACTAACTCTAGCTATGGCGGCTATGGCCGCATCTACCCTATCGCTATGCTACGCTCGTTCTCTCTTGCCCACTTCAGCTCCGGGCTCACTGCAGACCTCCTTGCAAAAGTCGCTGTGGCAGCGCTTCCGCATGGCTCACGCAGGAGTGAATGAATGGCTGGGCGCTGCCTCTTGATTTATACTCCTGAAACTCGTTGGTCTGCCCTTTGGTGCTCACAGTCCCTTGTGGTACTTGCTGAACCGGACTGGGACTGACTGGACCTTACCGCTGACTGAGTGGGGACTCACTGCTAACCTACCGGAGTCGTACTGCAATTGCACTGCAGTTTAGTCCACCACTTGACTCACCACTTGCCCACTTGACCACTTGCTGACCT